AAAAGAGTTGACTGAAAAACGTAAAAACAGACCATATCTATATGGCAATGACATTATTTAAATTAAAAACACTACACTAAACACCCTGTAGCAGTCTGAACATTGACCTCCAAAGAAGTCTACATCCCAACCCAGGAATCTGTAAATCTTACCTTATATAGCAAAAAAGACTTTGCAAATGTGATTAAGTTAAGGATCTTGAGATGGAAAGATTATCCTGGATTATGCAGGTGGGCCTGATGTAATAACAACTGTATTTATAAGAGGAAGGCAGGAAATCAGAATGAGTAGCAGGAGATGTGAGGATGAAAGCAAAAGGTTGGAGTGATGGAAGAAGGGACCATGAGCCAAGAAATGAGGACAGCCTCTAGAAGCTGGAAAAGGCAAGGAAACGGATTCTCCCTTGAATCTCCAGAAGGTATGCAGCCCTGCCAACACCTTAATTTTAAACTTCTGACTCTAGACCTATAAGTGAATATATTTGTGTTGTTTTAAACCACTAATTTGTAGCAATTTGTTATAGAAGCAATAGAAAACTAATGGACAACCCAACAAATTTGTTGTTGTGAGTCAACAAGTCGATTCCAACTCATAGTGACCCTATGAGTAGGACAGAGTAGAATTAATTGCCCCATAGAGTTTCCTAGGCTGTAATTTTTACTTGGTAAAGTAGAGGGTCATTGAAAGAGAGGAAGACCCCCAATGAGATGGATTGACACAATGGCTGCAACAATGAGCTCAAGCATAGCAACAGTTGTGAAGACAGCACAGGACCAGGCAGTGTTTCTTTCTGTTGTACTTGGGGTCGCTATGAGTCAGAATGACTCAACAGCACCTAACAACAACAACAATAAGGTCTTTTCTCCCCCAGAGCCGCTAGTGGGTTCAAACTTCCTACCTTTTGGCCAGCAGCTGAGAACTTAACCTTAGCACCACCAGATCTCTTTCATACATGTATAGCAAAGGGCATATATCAAGCTCATTAAAATGAGTGTCAAGCACACTAGAATGGGTATCTAAGGGGGAGGATAGTAGGAGAGCAGATAGGAAATGAGGGGCGCTAGAATAAAACAAGAGGGGTGGCTGGCCTGAGAAGGATTAGTTCAAGTCCCCACATGCAAGGTCTAGCAAAGACAAACAGAAGCAATTCACTCTGATTGCTGTGTAGAAAATAAATTGGATGGCCTGATACGTGTGGCAGGTGTTCTGAGCAAAGACTCTCTTTAAGAGTTTTCTGATATTAAATCAGTCTTCCTTGTACCTTGATCCTGTGAAGAGCAGAATCTGTGGTGCCCTGAAGAGCAGGCATACTTTGGTCATTGAAAAGCGTATGGCTCATGGTAAATCACTCATGAATCACTTATGAATTTGATTAGTGTGGGTCAGTCCCAAAATCTACTCAGGGTAGCCTGATAAACTCAAGCTTTTAGGTTCATGAAGTGGAGGATCAGACCTGAACTGTGCTGATCACCTTAAAATCATGTAAAGCCACTGTGCAGCCAACCTCCATTCTGGTGCCTCCCCACACTTCAGACTTCACCCTTATTCTTCTCTGTAGCCAAAAGTCTGGCAAAGGGCCATATACATAGTAGGTGCATAATACTTGTTAGTAGCTGTTCCTGCTGATCTAGTAGTTAGGATTTGGCACTTTCACAATACCTGTTAGTGGAATGAGATGACCCTCCCTTTTCCTCAATCCAGACCATCTTTCTAGTTTTATTTCCTACCATTTCCTACATGCCATCTATCCCCAAGGACTCGCTATTCTTTTTTTTTATTGTAATATACACACACATTTCATCAGTTTCTACACGTACACTTCAGTGACATTGATTACATTCATCAAATTGTGCACCCTTTTTGCTCTTTTTTAAACTGTCAGGACACATTATTCTTTCAACACATTATTCTATTAATGTTTCCTTGCCTTTTGTGGGGGAAAAATTACTAAAAATGAAATCTACTCCCAACCCGGATAACCTGTCCACAGAATAGATGAGAAAGAGAAGTTTTATTATTGACCCTTTAGGAGCAAGGGAAAATGAAGAAAACTATAGACACAAGGGAAAGATTAGTCCAAAGGACTAATGGATCACAATTACCACAGCCTCCACCAGACAGAGTCCAGTACAACTAGATGATGCCCAGCTACTACCACTGACTGCTCTGACAAGGATCACAGTAGAGGGTCCCGGACAGAGCTGGAGAAAAATATAGAACAAAATTCTAACTAAAAAAAAGACCAGACTTACTGGCCTGACAGAGACTGGAGAAACCCCGAGAGTATGGCCCCTGGACACCCTTTTAGCCCAGTAATGAACTCACTCCAGAGGTTCACCTTTTAGCCAAAGTTTAGACAGACCCATAGGACAAAATGAGACTAAATGGGCACACCAGCTTAGGGGCAAGGACTAGAAGGCAGGAGGGGACAGGAAGGCTGGTAATAGGGAACCCAAGGTGGAGAAAAGAGAGTACCGACATGTCATGAGGTTGTTACCCAATGTCATAAAACAACATGTGTACTAACTCTTTAATGAGAAGCTAGTTTGTTCTGTAAACCTTCATCTAAAGTACAATTTAAAAAATTTTATTATTGAATAAGCATTAAACCAGAATGTGATGCATCAAAGGCAATCCACTGAAGAGACTGCAGACGGAAATCTTATCCTTTATGTATCTGAGTGGCTACAACTCATTACATTCACGTTTAAGATAAAATTGCTAATTTTATGGCAGGACACCTAAAGCTATGCTTATCTCCTTCCAGGAAACTGGGAGGTAGGGGTGTGAGCTTTCTTGATGATTACATTTCAAAAGAGATGGCGCCCAGGTCCTTGAGGAAACATCCTTGATTTACATACTTTTCAGAAAGACAAAGATTCTACCATTACAAGTTATCTAAAGTGAATGCTGAAAGAACAGGGGAGGAGAGGAGCCTCTTTATTTTCAACAGGGAGAATTAAAATATCTTATTTTCCACTTGTATTTTTCCTTACACTTTTCATGTACTATTCCTAGTGACTAGAGTTGAATGTGTTTCCGAGTTTTAAAGAGGAAGTTCAAATATTACTTAATCTTGTAGGTTTTCCCTGTCTCCCGGGTCATTCAATCAATTATTCATCCATCCATTGTTTTATTCAACAAATACTGAGCACCTTTACAAGCCAGACACAATGCAAGGCATTGAAAATAAGAGGGTAAGTAAAAAATAGAGGATCAACACCTTCATGACCCTCATGGAGGTCTAGGGGAGAAGACCAAGCTTAATAAACATATTATGCTTGCACTGATGAACATGCATGCTCTGGAGGAAACAGTGTTCTTTGACAGCATATAACCAAGAAATCGTTTCTAGTTTGGGGTAGGTTGTGGGTTCAAGGAAAGCCTTTCTGAAGACGTAACAATGGATGTCAATTTGGGCACAAATAGGCAAGATGGAAGCAAAAAGAAAAAAAAAAAAAAAGCATTCCAGACAGAGGGACTAGAAGGACACCAAACCTGAATAATTGAAAAGGCCATGGAATTCGAAGACAGAAGACAAGGTGGATAGTGGACCAGGATGGGGGCATTGAGTGGGAAGAAGTCAAGACACAGTGCTAACGTAACCAGATTTGCATTTTGTAAAGATTCCTCTAGCTGCTATGTGGAGAATGGATTAGTGTGGAGAGCAAGAGAGAATGGAGGGTGGGGATACTCTAGGTGAGAGATGACAGTAACTTGTCTTTGGGTGGTGGTAATAAAGATGATAGAAGAGCCCTGGTGGCATGGTGGTTAAGCTCTAGGCTGCTGACCAAAAGGTTGGCGGTTCAAATCCACGCAGTGGCTCCGTGGGAGAAAGATGTGGCAGTCTGCTCCGGTAAGGATTTGGAGCCTTGGAAGCCCTATGGGGCAGTTCTATAGTCCTACAGGGTCACTATAAGTCGGAATGGACTCAAAGGCAATAGGTTAATGAAGATGATGGGGTCATGGGTTTGCCATGAGTCGACTGAATGGACCCAAAAGCAACTAACAACAGTAACAATGAAGATGAAGGAGTAGATGAATTCCAAAGACATGTAAGAGGTAAAATTAGATTGGATGAGAGATTGGATATAGAACGGGAAGAAAGAGGTTCAAAAACAACTCCCCGATTCCTGATTTGTGTAGTAGGTACCACCCTCGTCAGGGTAAAATCTACCAGAGCCCTGTAAACTTGGAACTGCCGCCCAATTCCCGTCCTCCATTTGGGGTTACCCCTTCCATTCTAACCAGAATATTCTAGGTTCCCGCGGCCTCACACTCCTGCCTGCCGAGTACCGGCAGCCGAGCCCCTCTCCCTAGTTCTCCAGGCCTGCAGGAGAGGCCTCCTGAAGGTGAGGAAGCCCTCAGCTTGAGTAGCCTTTCACTTCTGGTGTTGTGTTAACTGAGATCCAACGTCATTTTTTGACTCTTGTTTCTTATCTGTGAAATGGAGACCACACCTCACCATACTGAGCCTCGACTGAGAAAAATGGTTGTTTATTTTTGTTATTGTTAGGCTCAGTTCAATTCCCTCCAGCCCTCTCCACCTCCTCCCGGGCACAGCGTGCAGAAGGTATTTCCAATAAAGGTCTGGAATGGCGTCCCTAAGGCTTGGCACCACACGTCTATCAGAGCAAGGTCATGCTTGCCCTAGCCTCCAATACCGTTAGCTGCGAACAGGACGACCAGCTCTTCCGCCAATGGTCTAGTCCTCACCAGACCCGAGACATCGCGAGAGCGCCCGTTGTCTTACAGACTCGGAGCGCCACGCCTTCCTGGTTTCAGAGCAAGCTTCTCCTTCCTGTTTCTCCGTCTTCCACCCTGCGCTCCGCTCTCGGATTGGCTGATTGAGCCGGGTCAGTTTTTTCCTGGCTAGAAAGCGGTCCGACAACTAGTCCTTCTTTGGGCCCCGCCTCCGAAGCCTGTGGATTGGACGACTGAGTCAGGTGTCACCGGACTGCACGGGAGCGCGGGCCAGCCAATCGGGAGCTTGGAGTATTTTACGAACTGGGGAAGTAGCTGCAGCGGACAGCGAGAGTCAGGGAAAAAGCCAAGAAAGTGGGGGCGATCCAGAGGGGCTTCGGAGAAGGTGGGGCACGAGGATCTTGGAGGGAATGAGGGCTGCGGGGGCTCATGGGGAGGAGAGGTAGCTCGGGGTCCTGGGACGAAAGAGTGTACTTGGCGTGCCTGGAGGTGGCTGGCACCCAGAAGAACGGCGTTGAAGGCGCCAGGAGCTTCTGAGTGCATGGATTTGGGCGGAGGTGGGAGTCTCAGGGATGCAGTACCGGCGCTCCGATATGGCTGACCTTTGATCCACGATCCTGCCTTCTTTCCCGTCTTAGTTGTAGTCATCATGACCACCCTCCAGGCCACGAAGGATCCTCTACCCCGGGGTGTATCTCCCACTCCTAGCAAGATCCCTATACTCTCCCAGAGGAGCCTGCCTCTCTCCACGAGCAAACCATGTGCCCTGGACCAGGAGAACCAAGATCCAAGGGTAAGAGGGGCCTGATGGGTGAAGGGAGTAGCTACAAGGAGGCAGCACACACCAGCAGTGCACCCCAACGCTGAGTCCCAGCTTTTTGCCTCTCCACCCCGACAGAGATTGGTGCAGAAGCCACCGTTCAGTATTCATCGACCCCTCGTTGGCACAGCAGGCCCCAGGCCTAAAACCACACACCAATCAGAGAGATCGGTGGAGAGCCCTCAGCTTCGGAAGCCCCTGGAGGAGCTCACGCTTAGCCCTGGGGAACAAAATGTGGGGCCTGGGCCCCCACCCCCTACAGGTATCTGGTGGAGGCTTGGGATCACAGCCTCCTTAACTGGGTGAGGGAATGAGAAGGGCACAGTGGGATTTGAGGGCTTTGTACTCCTTCTGGTTTCCTGCTGATTATGAGTTCTCCTCCCTGCACCTGGAAAGCCCTCGGCTCTTAGAAGCTCTGCCTTTCCTTCAGAAACATGTCTTCTTTTCAGGAGCCTTTTCCAGCTCCCCCAGCCACAATCAGTTGCTCTGTGTTCTCCTAATGTTTTGCAGTACTTCTTTTTTAACACGTCCATAGTTTGGCTTGAGTCTTCTACCTCCCTACAGTTTGATGAGAGCTTCTTAAGGATGGGCTTTGTCTTATTTATCTCTGGGCCCTAGTGCCTAGACTAGTGTCTTACAGAGAGTAAACTTCTGTGAACATTTGATGAACTGAGTTCAACTGAATGAGAGTCTCTGTTTGTTACTCTTGCACCTTAAGGTTACTATGCTAGAGTCCCTGGCCCCTTCCCAGTTTCTATTCCTTCTCACCTTTCCTTCGCTTCCCTTGCAGAGGCTCCTGGGGCCATAGAGTTTGTGGCTGACCCTGCAGCCCTGGCCACCATCCTGTCAGGTGAAGGGGTGAAGAGCTGTCACCTAGGGCGCCAGCCCAGTCTGGCCCAGAGAGTGCTGGTTCGTGGGAGCCAGAGAAGTACCCTCCAGAGGGGCCAGGTAATAAGACAGAATATGATGAGATGAAGCCGCAGTGGGCTGAGGAGAGGGTCATGAGCCTGTGCTGATAGCCTCTGTTGGTGTCCCAGGGTGCCCGGGCCTCTGCATATTTGGCCCCCAGAACTCCCAACCACCGACTGGGCCTTGCCAGGGCTTCCTGCTTCTCAAGGCTGGAGGGGCCAGGACCCCGTGGCCGGACCTTATACCCGCAGAGGCTAGAGACTTTGGTGAGTGCCCTTCGGGGCTGACACGCAGTGCTTCTGGGAGCTTCTTCCACAGGACAGAGCTGCCCTAACAGAGAAGGTCCCTCATGAGGAACCAGAGGGGTTCTGTGGGGAAGATGGGATTGGTGGTGAGGCCTGAAGGTTTGGGTCCCACCTGTGACTCTGTTCTCATTTCTTGTTCCTCTGGGTCAGATTCCACCTTCAGAACGGTCCTTTCACTCTTCCACTCGCCCCAATTTCCTGGAGTTAAGGAGAGTGACAGGTGGCAGCAATCGGTGAGAAGAGGGTGTGGGAGAGGGTCATTTGGAAAGGAATGACCCAGTGTCTGATGCAGGGGTTCCAGAGCCGGGACCTTCCTGTAACTTTAGGAAAAGGGTAAAACCTGTGACTACCTACAGGTGAGCCTTCGGAATAGGGTTCAGAGCTTCACAGCCAGGCCTCGCTACAGCATCAGTCTCCTCAGGTGGTGGGGGAGGAAGGGAGCAGGGATGAGAGATACTAGAGCATAGACTGTGGCAATAAATGGGATTTGGGTTTGATTGTGTGAGCTTGCACTAACCCCTCCGAGCTTCTGTTTCTTTATCTGTCAAAGCAGGATAATGTTTGTACCATCGGTAGAGGTTGTTGTGGGGATTAAATGAGATGATGTTTGTAAAGCACTTAGTACAGTGCCCGGCTCATACTTGGTACTCAGTGACTCTGCTGGCTGCTGTTGTTATTGTCATCAGGACATCAGTGAGCCAGGCCTCAGGATTGCCCGTGGAGACCCCATCCCAGCCTGGTGAGTATGTCTGGCTGTGGGGAGAGAACAGGGGCAGGTGGGCTGCCTGCAGCGGGAAGCTCAGTAGACTAGGGATGTGGGGGTGGCTAGATCAGGAGTGGAGAGAGGAAGGGGCCAGAGGATGGTACCCAGTTGCACTTGTATCAAAGGAGGCGGTCCCCATTTCCACCTTCTCTCTGCCACGCCCCTGCAAGATTTATTTTCCGCTCGCTATCCTATCTCCAGCCCCTAAAAGCCATCAGTACACCCTAGCCCGCTCAGGGTGTTCAGATTAATAAGCGCTTACTGAGATGGGCTAGACTTTGAGGATAGAGAAGGATGGGTCCCTGCCGCAATGGTGCAGTAGGGCTGTCAAACTGGCATACTCTCTTCAGAGGTTGCAAAGCCCTGTGCTAGTCTTTGATGGGCATTCCAGAAACTATAGCAAAATTCCTGTCTCCTCCTAGCTTCCTGCCTCCCTGAAGGAGAGCGTGAGGTTGTCACTCACTCAGATAAAGGCAGAGGGGGCCCCCTCTGTCTGGCACAGCGGGTTCCATTAAGAGAAACACACACCAAGGTGAGATGGGACCCTCCTCGGATAGGAGGTAGGGGTGGGAGGTGTTTGGGGGAATTCACAGCAGCAGCCAGCACTGAGGATCGTGGGTAGAGCCAGGCAGTCCTGGGCCTCAGGGATGTTATTTGGTCTGGGTTTGTGCCAAATGGGCCCAAGCTTTCTCCCGAATGGAACTGACCTCTACTTATCAGGTGTCTGGGGCCTGGAGTGAGAGGTCATAGATTGATATATATTTGCATCACCATCAGATCAGTGCTGAGGGTGAGGCAACTGATACTTGTCAGTCAAAAGGATTCATCTGTTCACTCCACAAATATTTCCTGAACATATACTGTGTGCCAGGCACTGTTCTAGGCTCTGGACATACAGCAGTAAACAAATTCACATTCTAGAAGGGGGAGACAAACAATAAACAAATTTGTAAAATCTATAGTATGCCGAAGGTTCCTGGGTGGTGCAAACGGTTTACACTTGACTACTAACCTAAAGATTGGTGGTTTGAACCCACCCAGCAGTGCTGCAGAAGAAAGGCCTGGAGATCTGCTTCCATAAAGACTACAGCCAAGAAAATGCTATGGAGCAGTTCTACTCTGTAACACATGAGGTTGCCATAAGTTGGAATTGACTCAACAGCAATGAGTTAGTTTTTTGTTTTTTTGTTTTTTGTATAGTATGTCAAATGGTGACAAATTCACTGTAAAGAAATAAGGCACTGAGGGGAGTTGGGAGTGGGAAGTTGGTGTTGCAATTTTAAATAGATTTGTCAGGGTAATCTCATTGTGAAGTTGAAATGAAGACCAGAAGGATTTGAGGGAATGAGCCGTGCAGATATCTGGGAGAAGAGACTTCCAGGCCAAGAGAACAGCAGGTGCAAGGGCCCTGAGGAGGGAATGTGCCTCGTGTGTTTGAGGATCCACAAAAAGGAAAGGCTGGCAAGGTTGATCAGAGTAAGGAAGAGAATGGTATATGAGATTAGAGCAATAGCAGAATCCGATTGGGTAGGGATTTGTAAACCAGTGTAAGAACTTCGGCTTTTACTTGGAATGAGGTGGAAAGCCAAAGCCAGGGCTGGGGTGGGGAGGGGGGTGATGGGGGTTGGGGAGCAGAGATGAAGGGAGTGACATGATTTTACTTAAGTCTTAGAAGAATCACAATGGATACTGTGGTGAGAACAAGATGTAGGAAGGCAAAGGGAAAAGGATCACTTCCCAACCTTTTCTTCTCCACAGGACAGCCGTGACTCCCATCTGATGCCCTCCCCTGCCCCTGTGGCCCAGCCCATGCCTGGCCGCATGGTGCCACCTACTGTCACCCGCCCTTCACCCTTTGGATGGGCTCAGCGTGTACCTTCTCCCCACCTCTCAGCTCCGGTTTGTACTCACAACTATTGAGGGCTGGGCAAGGGCAGAACAGTCTGGCTGGGGACCCCCTCTAGGTCTAGGCTTTGGCCCTGCTCAGCCACTTCATCTCTCCCTAGACCTCATATTCAGTGTTGCGGCATCTTGCCATTCACCCCAAAACCCAGTTCACACCCATCCCCAGAGTTAAGCAGGTAAGAGAGGGCAGGGGAGGTAGCTGGCACAGGCCAAGGCTGGGGAAGAGAGAACAAGGGGATGGATGAGCATAGGGAGGGTTCAGATAGGGGCAAGGAGAGATTGGGCCCATCTGTGGGTGCTGGGCTTTGCTGACATCTCACTTCTGGTCCCAGAGCCGATGGGTGAGTGGTCTCTCCCCTCAGTCTTGCCCTGAACCCGAAGAGCCTGTCCTGCCCTGGGTAAGTATCAGAAGCCCTCCCATGCTAAGATCCCTCATTCTGTCCTTTTGGCCTGGAGGCCCAGCAGTTTGAGGGAGGTGGGTTCCCTGGAAAAGCTACCTAACTCCAACCCTCCCTGCTTCTCTGCTGCTCCTCCTACTCTAAGTCTAGGTCTTCTCAATTAGGGATTTTGATTCCTTCCTCATGAGGGTGGCACTCTGGTCATCTTCCTGCCCCAGCCTGGCTTCCCCACGTGTCCCCTTTCCTCCCATCTGGCAGGAGCAGATTGCAGTACAGTTGTTTGACCAGGAGAGCTCTATGAGGTTGCAGGAGGAGCCTGCGAAGCCACCTGTGGCTCCTAATGAACTCCCCCCAAACAGAACCCCCAACCTGCAGGAGCTGAAGATGCAGGTGGGTCTGTGGGGGCAACAGCTTTGATGCCTGAGGAGGAAACAGGAAGAGATAGGGTATGGGGATAGGGCAATGCGAGTACACTACTTGAACTACTCTCTTCTACCTACAGCGCATCAGTATCCTGCAGCAGCTGTTGCGACAGGAGGTAGAGGGGCTGGCAGGGGACAAGTATGCTGCCCTTAATGGAGACTTGTCTCTGGATATGGTTGAACTTCATCCCCTGCTGGCTGAGATTTCTAGAACTCTGAATGCCCCAGAGCATAATTCTGGGACTTCCCGCCTTCCTAGATTGTCACAGCACTCTGATCTGCAGAAGCCCTGCCTTCCAGAGGAGTGTGGGGAACCACAGCCCTGCCCTCCAACAGAGCCAGGGGTCCCAGACTCCTGCTATAAGAGGGAATCTGAGATACCAGAGACCTCCCCGCAACAACAGCCTGGAGTGCTAGAGCCCTGCTCTCCAGCAGAGCCAGAGGTCCCAGACTCCTGCTATAGGAGGGAGTCTGAGATACCAGAGCCCTCCCTACAACAACAGTCTGGAGTACCAGAGCCCTGCCCTCCAGCAGAGCATGGACCCCATCAGCACAGCCCCCAGGGGAAGACTGGATTCCCCCAGCCCCACCCTAGGGTAGAGCCTGGGGCACCAGAGGCCTGCCCCAGGGAACCTGGAAGTCCAGAGTCTATCCAACAGCCCCACAACAACAATCAATGTGCTCCAGTGCCCACCAGCCTGATCTTCACTTCCCAACACCCACTTTTTACCAGCCCTCCTATTCACTCACTCCAGTCTCTGAGGCCCCTACCAGGCCAATCAGGTAAGGAGTTGGTTGGGAGGGGGTAGGACGAGGAAGGTGGTCATCTCTTACTGGGAGCTGGACCCAGTGCCCTGCAGCAAATGATCCCATGCTTCCTCCACCATCTATCCTGCCTCTGCCTGGCTCTCCCTCAGAAAGAAAGGAGGAGCTGAACCTCTACCTCTATGCTCCTAATTAGCTTGGCCCTTGGGGGAGGGAAAAAGGGCAATATATGGTGGGAGCACAGAACTCCAGAGCCCCCTCTGAACTCTGTGACCCTCGGCCCTCAGGCCCCAGGAGTCTAGCCCCTCGAACCCTGGCCCTGAGGCAGCGCCTCAAAGCATGTCTGACTGCCATCCACTGCTTCCATGAGGCCCGCCTGGATGATGAATGTGCCTTCTACACCAGCCGAGCCCCACCCCCAGGCCCCACCCGGGTCTGCACCAACCCTGTGGCTACATTACTGGAATGGCAGGACGCCCTGGTGAGCCTCTGACCAGGCCATGCCTGCCTGCACACCAAGCTGTCAGAGGGGTGGGGTGGGAGGGGAGGGTGGATGAAGAGGACTGGCCTTGGCTCCTTTTCAGAGAAAGTCAATGGGGAAGAGTTGACTACAGTTTAAGGATGGCTAGGTTGTGACAATGTCCTCTCTCTCCAGTGTTTTATTCCAGTTGGTTCTGCTGCCTCTCAGGGCTCTCCATCATGAAGCATCACCTCCATCTGCCCTGCGTTGCTCCTTTCTTTTAACCCTTATTTATTATCAGTCCCTCCTCTCACCCCCATGGGGCTGGGACCGGATACTCTTGTCATTCAGTAAAGTTTGTATAGTGTTCAACTGCACTTCTAGTTTTCTTCTAGTCAGATCTAGGCTGAGTACTGGTGTTGCTCTCCAATTGCCCACATGGTGGCAGTGTCCTCCAGCTTAAGGACCAGCCCTGGGTTCTCAGAATCCCCCAGGCTCTTCCTTCATTTAGGAGCTGTCCTGAAGGGAGGAAGTTATCCCACCCTTGCCCAGCCAACCTCCTCAGCAATGAATATGTTGGGGGCTGAATGTGGGCCTTTAGGGACCTGCTCTTTTCCCTGCTGCTTGAGATCAGCCCCCATCCCAGAAACCATCAGCCCTCACCCCCTGGAAACTCCTCTTAGACTGTCTCCCTGCACTAGGCAGAGTGGCGGAGGCACCAGACCCAAGCCTGTGGGATCCTCCCTGTGTCATTGAGTTGGTGTCCCTGGGCCTGCAGTGTGAGGCCCCAAAGCTCTCCTGAAAGCCGATACCCTGCTTCCCATATCAGAGTGGAAGCCCTGGGCTGCTCCCTTTTCTTCCCCGCCAGGCGTTGTCAGGAATAACTAACCTTTTGCCTCTGGCAGAGAGTGACAGGCAGGGTGGGAGTCCCTGAGGGGTGAAGGAAAGGGTCAGTCACTTTTCCCCCATTCTGAGCTCCAAGTCAAGTAGCCACACACATCTCCCAGCCTCGCTTTATTGGAAGGGTCAACAGAAGCTGTAGCCCCAGGGCCTAGCCTGGAGGGGCTGGAATGAGGACTGTAGAGAATGAGTTAAATGCCAAGAAAGAATTCATGTGTTCCTCCAGTTCACAAGAGGGCTGTTAAGTCTGGGGCCAGGAGCCTGAAAATGGAGGTGAGTGGCAGAGGGGATTGCTAGAGAAAGTTTTCATGACAGGACCAGCGCCTACCCCTCTCCTCTCCTCTCACGGCTGCGATCACTCCTTATGTTTGTTTTCTCCATCCCAAGCCGCCAGGGCTTCCCTTCTGCTTTCTGGGCATGGGAGCCCTTGTTAGGGAAATTGCCGTCCAGCTTCGGGCAAAAGAGAGGGCTGCGACCTCCGCTCCTTTTCAGGTCTGGCTTTCACCTCAGCCTCAAGTGGACGCCTGTGGTCCTTCCCCAGGTGCTCTGCTCTTCCACCCGTCCGGCCTCCTCCTCTCCCCAACCACTTTCTCCCCAGAGCACCAAGAGTCCGCCTACCGACTGCCAGGCTCTCAAAGGATGGGGTTGCGCCTTGGGCAGGGCCGGCTGGAGGTGGGTGGGGTGGGGAGAGGAGGGACGAGCTGGGCGAGCGGGGGAGGGGTGGGGCCCAGATTCAGTCCGGGTAGATGATGAAGCCAGAGAAGGTGCTGTACTTGTTGGTGTTGCCGCCGTGCACCTTCCCGCCGTCCAGCTTGATGAAGACCTCGTCACCTACATCCAGGTGCAGAATGACACTGTTGCTGGCGTAGTCATAGTTCTGGTCGGCGTCCTGGGCAATGGCGCTGGCCCGGACCTGGCGAGAGAGGAAAACGCTACTCACTCCTTGTGCACTCCTTGTGCAGAGCTGGGGTGCTGAGAGGGGTCGGGTGTGCGAAGGCAGGCGAGAGCAGCTGGCTGCAGGGCTGGGGAGGACGACTAAGGGGTGGTGTTCAGAGGGGCCTAGTGGGGCCCAGGAGTTGCTGGGCTGCTCAGGGTCTGCCATTCACTAGTTGTGTGACTCGGGGCAAGTGTCATGTCTTCTCGGCCCAAGTTTTATCTATAAGCCAGGGGAGAGGATGGCTAATAGAACTTACCTCTGGGGATTGCTAGGATTAAATGAGTTACTACATGTGAAGTGTATTTAGAACAGTGTTTTGCGCATAGAAAACGCTATATAGAGTGGGCTATTATTATTCTCAGAAGCCCTGATGGCGCAGTGGTTGAGTGGTCAGCTCCTAACCGAAAGGTCGGCAGTTCCAACCCACCAGCCCACTCCACCGGACAAAGATTGCAGCTTTGGAAACCTTATGGGGCAGTTCTACTCTGTCCTATAGGGTCGCTATTAATCGGAACCGACTTGACGGCAACGGGTGATTATTATTATTCTCAGTTTTTAAATAAAATTCGCCTGAGTAAAATTTCTAATTCTGTCCCCCTCTGATCTCCTGTGATTCCTAAACTTGAGTTCGTTTCCCCTGTGACGGGGCGCAAGTGTGTCTGTGTGCGTGCGAGGGTGCGGACCAGGGAAAGGTGCACTGATGCGCTCTTGCCTCTGGGGAGCCCGTTTCCCCCTCGGGGTGTCGGCTGATGCCTTCACGTAGGGGTCGCCTTCTGCCCTCGCAGGGAGCCCCTCTTACCCTCAGGCCTCGCCGCGGTTGCCTCGGGCGGTCAGCCCCCTCCCCAACCCTCCTGCTTCCCGTCCCGCGGGGGCTGGTTATTAACTTATTAATTATTCATCATTATTCTAATCACTATTTACCGTCCCCAGGGCCGCAGCGCCCGCGCCGCGGAATACAGAGTGGGAGCCGCGTGGCCCCGCCCCCTCCGTAACCGACACACTCTAGTTACATTTGTCCCCCCACTTCTCCACAGATAACCCGCGTAGAGCACGTACACCTACTCAGTGCCACATGCAGACACACCATGCTCCATACTCACCTTCCCATCCGGCACACGGAGGCACACGCTCGCATCGCACACACACTCTCCTACTGCCTTACACACATACACCATCTCACCCCCATACAAATATACATGCATGCTCATCCCCTTTCCCGGGTTCTTGGGGTGGCTCTGCCGGGAGATGACCCCAAAACATTTCTGCAGGTCTGGTAGTGGGAGGAGGCAGGTAGTATGACCCTAGGTTCCAATGTATCCCAAACAAGCAGGCCTGATGCGCCCCAGTCACCACCGCCCCAACCGCATGGGGCTTGCGGAGGTCACCCCTCAGCCCCAACCTCCCCCTGCAGCCTGTGCTGCCCAGCAGCCCCCACCCCCACCCCTCGGCCGCAAAGCCTGTAGCCTTTAGCTCCAGTTAAACGCGCCCGGGTTCTCGGGCTGAGTCCTTGGGGCTATCCTCCAAACCAAGGCGGCGGTGACTCCAACTCCGCCCTCAGGCTCAGGGTGCAGAGAACCTGGAGGCTGAGAGGTTGTGAGGGAGGATGTGGGGCCTGCAGGACCAGGTCAGGGTCCGATGCTGCGACTTTGCCTGTGTCCTCCAAATCTGTTTCTTCCAGCCACCTGCCTGGCCCTGAGCTGCCGCCCCATTTCCTACCTCTGCCTGCAGACTCAGTATTAGCTGAGGGTAAGGCCGGCTCCATCTAGGCTTGGCCCCAGGCCCTGGAGGAAGCAACAGGGCAGCTGCCTGGCGAGGGAGCTAGTGTTTTCTTTCTTTTTTACCTTTTCCTCGAAAATCCAAGCTGGAACGCCCCCACGCAGGAACCGCTGCAGATTCCCCACTGCCCTTGAGGCTGATTCCATTCTAATTCGGAGTCATACTCCGGTAGCCCGCTCAAACCGAGGCTAGGAAACACGCAGGCCAGGAGACCTACCCCAGAAGGCAGGGGCAGAGAAGGAGAAAAGGGGCTAGTTGGCAAGGCGAGAGACCAAGCAGGTTTGGTGTGCGGTTGCCTGTAGTTGAGGAGTGAGGACGCAGCTAGAGACATTGAGCTTTGGGTCCTGAATTCTAATCCTGACACCTTTCCTAAAGTTCCGTGAGACCCTGAGCAGGTCGTGTCCTTTCTCTGGCCCTCGGTTCCTCTTTCGCTAAATGAAGCGATCTCTTAAGTTTTTGGCCGTCTGAAGTTCCTGAATTCAGTTACGCTGTTCCAGGGAAGGGGCTTGGGATGTGGAAGGAGTGCAGGGCGACTTAGAAAGCTACTGAGGTCTGATCGGGGACTGGGTGGGGGCAGAGGCCTCTTACCTGTCCGTTCTTCATCAGATCGGCCCACATGCTGGTGCCATCTCCGCCGCGCATGAGCACGTGGTAGGTGAAGAAGTAGACGCCGGGTATCGGGCAGGTGAACTTGCCGCTGGCCGCCTCGTAAGCATTGCCCACGTTGGTGACTACGTCGTCGAAGCGCAGCACCTCGTAACCTTCGTGAGGCCGCCGCAGGCCCGCGTAGAAGGCAATGCGAGGCACGTAGCCTGCAGGAGGCGCCACTCCGCCTGGGCCCGGGCCCGGAGGGCCCGGTGGTCCTGGCCTGCCGGGCTCTCCTGGGGGCCCTCTGGGACCTGGCGGTCCCGGGGGCCCCCGCAGGCCTGCCTTCCCGCGCCGCCCCACCTCTCCCTTGGCGCCAGGCAGGAAGGGGGGCACAGAGGAGGGCGCGCCGTCGGGGCCCGGGCCTCCGGGCCCGTGCGGGTCGCACACCATACGACAGCGACCCAGCATCTCGTAGTGCGCCGGCCCGCGGGAGCTGTGCACGAGCAGCGGGATGGCCACCAGCAGCAGCAGCACCATGGCCACCCCGACGGCCGCGCCAGCTACCCGCTTGCGGCGGTTCAGCCGTGACGCGGCCAGGGCCAGCAGATCCTCCTCACTCTTGGGCGCAATGGCGGCGGAGGCCCGGGGCTCTCCGCGGGACCCAGAAGCGTGGGCCGGGCCTGGGTCAGGACCCTCCCCGACGGCTGCACCCTGCCCCCCTACCCCTGGGGGCTCCCGCCGCAGTGGTGCCGTTACCCAAACAGTCCGTCAAGGCGAGGTCCCCCCGTGGGTTGGGCCGGCGGCAGCTCCCGACGGTTCAGAGCCCCCGGTCCTCTATTACCCTGCCGTTCAGTCTGAACAATCCCAGGCGCCTGAGATCGCGGCTTCTCGGACGGCTGGTTTCTTACGGATCTAGGATGCCTGAGTCACCCGCTCTCCGGGCGGCTGCTTTCTCACGGATGGCGGCGGCCTGGGTCCCCGGCTACTCAGACAAATCGCTCTCGGCCAGAGCGGGGATTACTCCCCGCGCCCGGGACGTCCCGGGCTCTGCGCTGCGGTTGGCGCTCACCAAACGCGACCTGCTGGTAGGTTTTGAGCTCTGGCTCTTGGCGAGTACTGATCCCCTCTTCCTACTCCAGCCGCGGCCTCGGCTCCCGCTAGAGCCGTGGCCCACGCCCCTCTGCTGAGAGCGCTCTCCTTCTCTCAGTCCCTAACCTTCCTCCCCTCCCTCCCTGGGCGGCAGAGCGGGCTATGTAAGCCGCCGCGCGGTTGGAGCCGCTTTAAGCAGCCAGAGGGGAGCGACCCCTGGCGCCCAGAGAGAGAAGCGCGGGGGCGGGGCAGGCGCGGCCCCCACCAGCGTTCCCCCTCTCTTCCCACCCTCCACCCTGGCCTGTCGGTTCTTTCCTTGCCCTGAGCCAATTCTGCAGGGATGCCGGGTCCTCACCCTACCCTTCCCTTCATCCTCTCCCCCACCCCCACCCCGAGTTTGGCATTCCCAGAGCCCAGAGGAAGCCAGAAACAGCGATGGGATAAGAGAGGTGGAGATACACACACACACACACACACACACACACACACACACACACACACGACAGAGGTGAATTCCCTGGCTAAAAAGAGCCCTGTCCCCCCAAAAAAGACCCAAGAAGGGCGAGAAAATATAGGAATTCACCACTCCACGACCCTCAGTGCCCCCACTAACATATGGTGAAAGATTCAACGGGCACTTGCTGTCCTGAACTGGAAAAGGTGAATCTCCAGCCACTCCCAGCCCCAGCCCCCAGTGTTCAGTGTTGGGGCGCAGAGCAGACCAGAGAGTCAGGGAGTGAGAGAACCTGAAAGCCCACCAGCCTGGGGGGAGCGAGCAGGAAACCAACAGGAAAGCAGAGAAGGAGCGACTGAGAAATCAAAGAGACTGAAAGCCACATAGAGACACAGAGACAGAGACAAAGCTTGGAAAAGAGACTAACTGACAGCCCCAGAGGGAGAGAAGGAGAGACAGAGAAGTAGAGAGACAGAGAGAGAGACGGAGCCGAGACAGGTTGACAGATCGAGAGAGAAATGTAAATGGCGTGCTGCAGAGAGACACGCAGGTCCGTGTTCGGACTCCAATGTGACATATCAGCTGTGGGGAAGACGCAGGGGCGGGGCGGTTCTGAGAGCTGGGAGCTGGAGGCTCTGGGCCTGTGCATTGTGACAGTGTGCTCACACGTGTGGACATAGCCATGGGACCCTGGCCTTGTGTGTCCCTGGGTGAGTGCAATTGTGTGTTATCTTTGTGTCTGTATATGTGAGGGCTGTTTGGAGGATGGTATTGGTATTTCTATTTGTCTTCCTCATCGTCCCTAAGTATGGGGCCCCATGAATACCACCTCAGGACTGAAGAGTAGGCAGTGCAGTGGGGAGAGAGAGTCACCAGGCAGCTCTAGTACCATTTGCTCTGCCCAGCCCAACCTCACCCCCGCCTGAGTCCCAGACCCTGTCCAGCCCTAAATGTCTCCCCCTCCCCTTTTCTCAAGGGTCCGCTGTTAGAAGAAAACCAGAGAAGTTAGACCCCACATAATAAGTGTTGGAGAAGAATGTTTGAAACTGGTTTTGCAAATGAATGCAACTAAAACACAGATTAAGTGCTAGGCACCCTCCTGTAAGAGATGACTGTCTTTCTCCTTTCAAGAAGACCAAGAGGGAACAGAGGCCTTGATAGATCCCTCTCTGTGTGGGGTCCAAGTCCAGGGAAAAGCTATTGGCTGTATCCTTCCCTGGGGCCCGGCCCCTCTGGGGGAAATGTCTTGCTCACAGGGACCCCAGGGCCACAGGTTTGAAGAAGGGGCTCCAGAACTGGAGGATGGGGGATGTTTGGAGACCACAGTAGTAAACAGCTTCTAAGGACCTCTTAGAGACTAGGATGGCCCAAGACTGTAATGTGTGGGAATACACTGTGTAAGATGGAAGGCACAGGGCACACCAGAGCATTATTATTGGGTAGAAGATGATTTCCTTTACCCCTACCCCTGCATGCCCCTCCCTACATCATGGTACTGAGGGCTTCTGAGGCTGGGCCTGTGTTGGGGAGGTCCCTACATGCCTGAAAAGGTTTCAAGAAAAAGAATTGGCAGTCAGTGGGGGAGGGGCCTCCTCCTCCAACCATAAATACAAATTTTATTCAAGGTCTTTCTTTCCATTTGTCTTCCTTGGGGGGCTGAGGGCCATGTCAGCCCCGTGCATGTCTAATTCCAGATCTGCTCCCCCAGGCTGGATGATGGATGGATCAGAAAGGAGAGAGCAGGCCCAGGCTCACACCATCCTCCCCTTCTGGATTCTCAGGCTCCATCCACCCCAGGTCCTGCTACTCCTCCCTCTCCTCTTTCCCCCAGTCTTCTATCCACTCACCAGAGGCCCTTTCTGCCCAGTCTGGCTCCCCATTCCACTCCTCCTGCTCGCCTGGGGCCCCTCCATGAGCCCCTCTCTTCAGCCCCTTTCAAGGCCCAGCCCTCTTCTCCCAGGAGCTTCCTCACTCCTCCCATCCCCAGCCCAGGCTGTGAGCGGCAGTGACCAGCAGGGCTGCAAGTAGCTGTGAGTGTGTGTGATGGGGGAGCAGGCTCGGCTCACAGGGAGCCGAGGGGCCAGCTCCATGAATTTATTCATGTTCTGTTGCTCTTTCCCCACGCTCTGAAATGAAGCTGCCAGCTCACCAGGTCCTTATTGCTTCCCCTGCAGCTGTCACATTCAGCTGAGGAGAGCCCTGGGTAGGACCGAGGCCTGCCAGTGCCCTTGGGGCCAGAAGCCAAGTGCTTGGGCCCAAGAGGCGAGGCTGGGGTCCAAGGTGGGGCCTGAGATGATTTACCCAGCACTCCTCTGGCAACCAAGCTGGGAGACCCCAGTGAGGTGCTGTGGTTGGGAATGGAAAGTGGTCAGAGAAGGGTGTGCTGCAGAGCACAGAAGGGGCAGTGGGGATGAGGGGTGGGCTAGTGAGGGTTAGAGGAGAGGAAATCCTAATGAGACCCCTGGGCTCCCACGTTTAAGAGCCCAGTCTGAATTCTGCCTTACTCACCTATTACTCTGCCCTAACCCTGAAGCTAATTCGAAATTATGCACTTGACTCCTCTCCAATCTTAAAATGATTCCTAAGTGCATAACTCATCTTCATCTGCCCTGGAACCCAGGGGTCTCCCCAGAATTTCCCCCAGGGCTATAGCCAGGTATGTGTCAAACTTCTGAGGGCCAGACTTTGGATTAGCATGTGATTAGCGTATGATTTGCACGTGATATGCGCCTTCTATTCTGCAGAAGTTTTCATGTTAAAATTTTATGAAGTCTGGTGGAAAGCTCCTGGCTCCTTGAAGGTTCTTTCTTTTTGTTCCTTCTCCCACACTCCTTGTCACCGACCTAGACCCCCTCAAGGGAAGAAGGGGGAAAGGGAGGAGATTAATAGAGGGCTCCTTGGAGGGAAGACCCTGGCAGTGTGATCTGCCCTCAGCTGTGTCATTTGCAGTGTAACCCCCATAAGCCTCAGTTTACTCATCTGTAAGAGGAGAGGAACCAGCTGGCTGGTGTTCCATCTAAGAAAGTGCCCTTTTTCTTTTTTGCACTCTCTCCTTCCTCCCCTGAAAGGCCAGCCTTGGTGTGGTTCCCTTCCTCTTCCCCCTCCCCACTCTGGCTTTCAGATTCCACGTCCACACAGAGCTGGAAGCAACCTGGGTTGCTTGGTACCCGACCCCTGGCATGAAGGGAAGGGAAGTTTGCCCACCCAAGAGGACAGGGGATGGCATGGGAAGGGAAATAACATTACTGAGTGCCTACCCTATTTTAGGGCTTTTACTTGCAAGTTCTTACTGTGTCCTCACAGCACCCCTAAGGGGTGGGTGTGTTGTCTCCCTTTTACAGATGAGGATCCAGAAAGGGGAAATCGCTTGTCCAGTATCACCCCGCAGAAGGCAGACCTAGAATTAGTTCTGATCTCCTGGCTTCCTCTCAGGGTCCTGGTGAAAAGACAAATGGCATCCAAAGCCGTGGGAGGGTGAGAGAAGCAGGATGCAATCTGAATGAGTCTCAGGGGATACCTCTGTGTGTGAAGCCAGCAGTGCCTGGGTCTTCTTGGTTCAGCGTGTCCCCGACTCCCAGCGCCTCTGAGTTCAACACCCAACAGTCGCTCAACTGCCGGTTAACGGATGGTTGAAGTTAGCAGCGGGGAAGAGCTGTTCAGATGGATACGAGAGTGCAGAAAAATGGAAGGGAGTGGGAAACGAAGGCGATCCAGAGGAAATTTTGCTCCAGGGGCGAAAATGAGGAGAGCTGGCCGAAAGTTTTGAGGACCGCTCTCCGACTCGGGCCGCGGGTGGGAAACAGTTGCAGTTTGACTCCGGGTGGAAAGAGCCGACGTGCCTCAGAGGTGAGGCGAGAGGGCGAGCGCGCGGCGGGGCCCAGGGCTCCCGCTCCTCAGCCTGTGCCCCTGGCACTGCAGCTCTGAGCAGCCCTGGGTTCACAGGGCCGCACGAGGGCAGGTAGGGCTGAGGACCCGGCAGACAGCGGGTAGAGAT